TTGGGATCAGTGTTGAAACATATCTATAGCAGAACAGCAATGATCAAATGCTCAAATATATTTACAGATCATTTTCCATCAATCAATCAAATTGATTTATATAGCCCTTTTTACATCAGCAGATGTCACAAAGTGCTATACAGAAACCCAGCCTAAAACCCCAAACAGCAAGCAATGCAGATGTAGAAGCACGATGGCTAGGAAAAACTCCCTGGAAAGGCAGGAACCTAGGAAGAAACCTAGCTAGAGAGGAACCAGGCTCTGAGGGGTGGCCAGTCCTCTTCTGGCTGTGCCGGATTATAAGAGTACATGGCCATTAAGGCCAGATTGTTCTTCAAGGTGTTCAAACGTTCATAGATGACCAGCAGGGTCAAATAATGATCACAGTGGTTGTAGAGGGTGCAACAGGTCAGTACCTCAGGAGTAAATGTCACTTGGCTTTTCATAGCTGAGCATTCAGAGGTCGAGACAGCAGGTGCGGGAGAGAGAGAGAAAGAGAGTCGAAAACAGCAGGTCCGGGACAAGGTACCACGTCCGGTGAACAGGTCAGGGTTCCATAGCCGCAGGCAGAACAGTTGAAACTGGAGCAGCAGCACGACCAGGTGGACTGGGGACAGCCAGGAGTCATCAGGCCAGGTACTCCTGCACTCTAAAAATTAGGGGTTCAACAAGGGTTCTTCAAAGAACCTTTGGGTTCTTGGCACTGAAAATTGCACCCAAAAGGTTCCTCCGAGAACCCCATAGGAGGTGGGGTTCATCGAGGAACCTCCTTAGTTGGTGGGGGTTCTTGCAGGAACCTAACTGCCCAACTGAAACATTTGGATTGGAATTTGAAAAGACAGCAGGTGCATGCACTTAACTGAAAAATGGGGTAAGGTTTGTCCCTTGTATGATCTAAATTCATATTGTTTTCTGATGACACTATCCATCTTTTCATATTCGTGCAAATCTTTCTAAAACAGAAAATTGACACAATTCAATGGATATCAATCAACAAAGAGAAAAGAATATGTACTGTAGGCTATAAGAATATGTTGAAGGCTAGCTGTATTGGATGCAGACGAATGAATTGTTCACTTTTGTGTCTGTAGGTATACAGACGAGGAGGCATACAAAGGTATGTCAATTCGTATTGGTAAGTTGTGCAATTAATATCCCATTGGCCTCTGCATTATGAACAAGGTATGTGTATGAAAACCGTTATTAAAACATTTTTATTCATTCATATTTACCACAAAATCCAAGGTATGAATACTTTTGTGTGCATGTTTTGTTAATCGTCTGTGTAACTACTATTTTTTGGATTCACAGATGTCATGCTCCCTACACCTCTGACGAATATAACAGGAAACCTGTTCGATCACCATGCACTGCAAATCATTATGGCTATGGATATGGAGAACATCAACACATCAACATGCCAGACGATATACCCTTTAGACTTGTGGCTCTGCTGGGAGTTTTTCCTCATATTTTGATTTTTTTATTCTGCTTTGCTACTAAAATCATTATTCTGCTTTGCTACTAGGGTCATTGTCCTGCTGGAAGGTGAACCTCCGTCCCAGTCTCAAATCTCTGGAAGACTGAAACAAGTTTCCCTCAATAATTTCCCTGTATTTAGCGCCATCCATCATTTCTTAACTTCTGACCAGTTTCCCAGTCCCTGCCGATGAAAAACATCCCCACATCATGATGCTGCCACCACCATGCTTCACTGTGGGGATGGTGTTCTCGGGGAGATGAGAGGTGTTGGGTTTGCGCCAGACATAGCATTTTCCTTGATGGCCAAAAAGCTCAATTTTAGTCTCATCTGACCAGAGTACCTTCTTCCATATGTTTGGGGAGTCTCCCACATGCCGTTTGGCGAACACCAAATGTGTATGCTTATATTTTTCTATAAGCAATGACTTTTTTCTGGCCACTCTTCCGTAAAGCCTAATAGCTCTGTGGAGTGTACGGCTTAAAGTGGTCCTATGGACAGATACTCCAATCTTCGCTGTGGAGCTTTGCAGCTCCTTCAGGGTTATCTTTGGTCTCTTTGTTGCCTCTCTGATTAATGCCCTCCTTGCCTGGTCCGTGAGTTTTGGTGGGCGGCCCTCTCTTGGCAGGTTTGTTGTGGTGCCATATTCTTTCAATTTTTTAAATAATGGATTTAATGCTCCGTGGGATGTTCAAAGTTTCTGATATTTTTTTATAACCCAACCCTGATCTGTACTTCTCCACAACTTTGTCCCTGACCTGTTGGAGAGCTCCTTGGTCTTCATGGTGTCGCTTGCTTGGTGGTGTCCCTTGCTTAGTGGTGTTGCAGACTCTGTGGCCTTTCAGAACAGGTGTATATATACTGAGATCATGTAACACTTAGATTGCACACAGGTGGACTTTATTTAACTAATTACGTGACTTCTGAAGGTAATTGGTTGCACCAGGTCTTATTTAGGGGCTTCATAGCAAAGGGGGTGAATACATATGCATGCACCACTTTTCCGTTATTTATTTTTTAGAATTTGTTGAAACAAGTCATATTTTTCATTTCACTTCACCAATTTGGACTATTTTGTGTATGTCCATTACATGAAATCCAAATAAAAATCAATTTCAAATACAGGTTGTAATGCAACAAAATAGGAAAAACGCCAAGAGGGATGAATACTTTTTCAAGGCACTGTAAATTCACACAGGACACCAGATAAGACAGGAGAATAACACCAGATATAACAGACTGCTCCCTGGCACATACACTCTAAAAAGTAAAGGTTCCTGGAGGATCCTTTAGGCGTTCTTCAAATTGAAACTGTGGGGGAACCCCTTTAAGTTCTTCGAAGAACCCTATAAAAGCGTTCTTCAAAGAACACCTTTTAATGGATCCTCAAATAACCTACGCTCCAGCAGGTATATCTCACTGGTAATTCCCAAAGCCAACACCTCCTTTGGCCGCCATTCCTTCCAGTTCTCTGCTGCCAATGACTGGAACGAATTGCAAAAATCTCTGAAGCTGGAGACTCTTATCTCCCTTAATAACTTTAAGCATCAGTTGTCAGAGCACCTTACCGATCACTGCACCTGTACACAGCCCATCCGAAATTAGCCCACCCAACTACCTCATCCCTATATTATTTATTTTGCTCTTTTGCACCCCAGTATCTCTATTTGCACATAATCGCTTGCACATCTAGCATTCCAGTGTTAATACTATTGTAATTATTCTGCACTATAGCCTATTTATTGCCTTACCTCCATAACTTGCTACATTTGCACACACTGTATATATATTTTCTGTTGTATTTTCTGACTTTATGTTTTTTTTACCCCATATGTAACTCTGTTGTTTTTATTGCACTACTTTGCTTTATCTTGGCCAGGTCGCAGTTGTAAATGAGAACTTGTTCTCAACTGGCTTACCTGGTTAAATAAAGGTGAAATAAAAATAAAAAAAAAAAACTTTTGAATAACCTTTTGGGGTTCATTTTTGAACTACCCCCCGTCCCCTATTATTATTAATTAATAATATTAATAATAATACACATAACAATAACAACAATAACACAATATTTTAGTTGTCAGTGTTTATTATGATTTTAGTGGCAAAGCAGAATAAAAAAATCCAAATGTGAGGTCAACTCCCAGCACACCCCCAAGTCCAATGTGTATTTCCTCTGGCGTGTTGATGTTAATGTATTGATGTTCTCCCTTACCATAGCCATAATGATTTTGCAGTGTATGGCGATCAAACAGGTTTCCTGTTATATTCATCAGAGGTGTAGGGAGGGTGAAGTCTGTGAATCCAAAAAAATGTAATTATACAGATGTTTAACAAAACATGCACACAACAGTATTCATACCTTGGTTTTTGTGGTAAATGTAAATGACAAAAACTGTTTTGATAATGGTTTTCATACACATACCTTGTCCATAATGTAGAGGCCTATGGGATTTTCATTGAATAGGTAAGGGAGGAGGATGGTACATGTGATCAGCATAACATACCAATACCAATTGACATACCTTTGTATGCCTCCTCGTCTGTATACCAGCAGACACAGACACAAAAGTGAGCAGTTCATTCATCTGCACCCAATAAAGCTAGCCGTCAACATATTCTTATAGCATACATATTCTTACCTCTTTGTTGATTGATATCCATTGAATTATGTCAATTTTCTGTTTTAGAAAGATTTGCACAAATATGAAAAGATCGATGGTATCATCATAAAACAATATCAATTTAGATCATACAAGGGACAAACCTTACCTTCAATTGAGGAGATCTTTAAACATTTAGTTAAGTGCCTGCACCTGCTATCCTTTCAAAACCAAATGTTTCAGTTGGGCAGTTAGGTTCCTGCAAGAACCCCCACCAACTAAGGAGGTTCCTCGATGAACCCCACCTCCTATGGGGTTCTTGGAAGAACCTTTTGGGGGCAATTTTCAGTGCCAAGAACCCAAAGGTTCTTCAAAGAACTTTAAGGATCTTAGAAGAACCCTTGTTGAACCCCTCTGCATCCAGTTTGAAGGAAGTTGCTAACGAGCGTTATTGCAATCACTAACGCTAGATAGCATTGGCTCACGAAACTACTTTCATACTGGACACAAAGACATAAAAATGGTACCCCTTTAACCCCAACTTTAATCCCAAACCCCTAACCCTAAACTTAAACATAAACCAAACTCCTAAACCTAACCCTAATTCCAACTCTAATTGTAACCCTTAACCTAACGCCTAAGCCTAAAATTGACTTTTTCCTTGTGGGGACCGGCAAAATTGGCAAAATTGTCTGGTCCCGACAAGGATAGTAAAACCAAAAACACACACACACACACACACACACACACACACACACACACACACAGGCATGTGCACAGATAGGAGTCTACCTGTGCTGAGCACATGCACCTTTGCCCTCCTACTCACCCTTTTGGGTATAATAAAACATTTTGTATACCGTTTTTTGGTTGTTCTTCCCGCAAGTGTGTGTGCGTTTGTGTGTATTCCTGGTGCAGTGGTGCCACCATCCTGTGCAGTGGTCACAGACTTTGTTTGCCAGTGCATCGAGTCCCACCTGGTGTGTGACAGCAAGGCCGACTGTGCAGACGAGACATACAGTATGAGGTGGACTATGGTGAGTAGAGCTGGGGAGTACTTAACTTAATACGGTTACATATGGCTTGCTCTCACAAAAGTTCTCTCTCTCTCTCTCTCTCTCTCTCTCTGTCTCTCTTGTCTCTCTGTGTCTGTCAGTCTGTCTCTCTCTCTCCCTCTTTCTCCCCATCTCTCTCTCTCCCTCTTTCTCCCAGTCTCCCCAATCTCTCTCTCTCTCTCTCTCTCTCTCTCTCTCTCTCTCTCTCTCTCTCTCTCTCTCTCTCTCTCTCCTAGGCCACATAGTACCAGGTTCCTGTAACTTTTACATGCCAGAGGACATGTGGGAGGAGACCTGCCAGCTGACTCAGGACCCTGATAATAACCTTGACTGGAGGATTGGCCAGACGAGTCACCCTTGAAACTGGACCCCCCACTGACCACAGCCCTGGTCAGTACTACCCTCCTTGGACCTTGAGGTTTTACTGACCACATGGTCTGAACAGAATAGAATATAGCCAGGGCCCTGAGTTGTTCCTGACCAAATGATGAGAAAAAATGGTCTGTAACTAACAGATCACATGCCCAGGGAAAGCTTGTGTCCTTTACCACTACAGTAATGAGATTGACCAAAATGGTACCCTATTCCCTATATAGTGCACTACTTTTGAAAAGGGTCCTATGTTCCCCGGTCAAAATAGTGCCCTACAAAGGGAATAGGGTGCTATTTGGGACATCCCATGGCAATAAGAGGATTTCCACACAGGAAATTCCGGCGTTCTTCAGTTTATTGGTAATCTTAAGGGGTTATTTACAGCTGTTTGGTTTGTGTGCTGTTAAAAACATGGCTGCTAGTGTTGGGCTGGAAGAGAGTGTGTGCATTTGTGTGTCTATGTGCCTCTCTGTGTCTGTCTGTGTGTGTTTGTGTGCTTGCTCTCAAACCAAGTAGAAAGCCGATCATTACACCATTATCTGATGTATTATATCGCAACAAATTGACCCATGAACTTTAGAACAATTGTTGTAATTGTGGAACACATCTATCCAGAATGTCTAGCATATTGTGTCCACACACTATGCCCTATATAGTGCACTACCTTTGACCACAGCCATATGGGCCCTGGTCAAACATAGTGCACTATAGAGGGAGTAGGATGCCCTTTGGGACGTAGCCAGAGTGTGTGTCCCTGTGACTGGCCACCCAGCTCATTGATCGTGGAGATGAATGTGGACACCAGGGAGTACATTGTGTCACAGGCAGACCTTATGATCTCACTGGGGAGACAGATCGATGGACCTAGCCAGCCAGATCGCTCTCTCTCTCACACACACACACACACACACACACACACACACACACACACACACACACACACACACACACACACACAGTGCTTATGGACTCTACAATAGAGAATAGAGAGAATACAAAATAATGGTGATGGTGTAGGGGACTGAGGAGCCACACAGTGGAGTGGCTGCAATGATTATAAAGACAGACTTTTTTATTTTTTTATTTTTTTATTTCACCTTTATTTAATATTTTACATTTACGTCATTTAGCAGACGCTCTTATCCAGAGTGACTTACATTTACAACTGCGACCTGGCCAAGATAAAGCAAAGCAGTGCGATAAAAACAACAACACAGAGTTACATATGGACACAATCAATTCCTAATCACGCATTAGCTGCTTTACTGTTGCGCATAAAAGCTGATTAAAAGTTTAGAAAACATAATAAAAACCAGCATACAGGTCTTTTCTAGAATGAAGGAGACAGGGATGAGGAATAAAGGACTGCGTAAGATTCCGGACCATTCTCCAGGGAGATACAGTATTCCGGGTGAGAATATTGTGGTGTGTGAATCACCACACATTGAGATGCCCCCAAATCCCCTCTAGCTCATGTGGAAAACGTCCACTTTGTTCTGGCGTGGCCTCAGTGGCCTCAGTCTCAGTCTAAGAGAGTAAGCCAAGCAGAATAATCTTCTTAGCACTGCATAGCTGCAGGGAACAGGCTCATAGAGAGGAACAATGGGTGCATCCCAAATAGCACCCTATTCCCTACATAGTGCACTGATCAAAAGTAGTGGTTACTGTACTACCAAATGAATTTTGCTCTGCCCAGAGTACCCCTGATGTACCCCTCATGTGCATTTTACCAGTAAGCCTATGGTCTCATGTGTCTTCTCAAGTACCCCCTGTGGATAGGCCAAGTACCCCCAGGGGTCCTAGTACCCCTGGTTGGGAACCACTGATGTAGGGAATAGGGTGCCATTTGGGAAGCATCCACTGTCTTCATAAATGCCTTGTCTTAGGTGTTCCTAGACTGTTTCACATTTAGGGCACAGAGATTTTCCTGCCCATGTCACTTCACCAGAAAATCATCTCGGTCCTTGTTAGAACCTATAGGCCTATGTAACCAAGTTGGATTGGTAACCTCCCTCTTTAGCTTAAAATGCTACCACCCAAGCCACCGAAATCCTAGCTTTTCGGTGGAATAGCTGGCTAAGGCATTGTCAAGAGGGCTGTCATGTGTGTTTACGAGACAGAGGATGCAAGATCAAGGACCGATAATGACTTGTGAGCGAGGAAGATATACGGTGAGGCCACAATACATTTGACAAGACACAAGACATTTGAGTTGACTCGCTACTGGAGAAATGACTAGATAATATGTGTCGACATATTTCTATCCATGATCCACAGGTGGAGAAGGGAAGTTTCTGTACGTGCACTCTGCCACAGAAAGGGAAGATGACATCGCCAAGGTTATGACGCGGAACCCATTCCCAGCCAGTATTGGCCTGTGTCACCTACAATTCTGCATGGATCAGACAGGATGGGGACATTAAACGTAGGAAGAAACCTTAAAGGGAAAGTTCAGTATTTTGCAACGTAAAGTTAGATGGTTCCGCCATCACGTCCATCGATTTTTTGCTAGCTGTTTAAAGAAAACCGAACCATGGATTACAGTTTCTCCTGGCCCATAGACTACATTCAGGGTGAGGAACCATCTAACATTAAGTTGTAAAATACTGAACTTCCCCTTTAAGTCATGTCCTAATAAATAACTTAAGTCTTGAGATGTGCATCCTTGTACTCCACACTGTGTGGTTTCCTTGTTAAGTCACAGCTAAGTGACATTTACAGTGCTGAAATCTTGTGGTGTGTCACTCAGGTCTACATGGTCAGCCCGAGTGGGACCCGCCTGCTGATGTGGGCCGCCAGCAGTAACCATGGCGATCGGTGTTCCTACGCCAGTGTGATCCTGTCCAACACGGCCCCCTTCAGAGTGACCTCCAGGCAGAAGTGGGGGGTGACGTGTAGACTGACATCGCCCTAGATGACATCTCCTTTACCACTGAGTGTGTGGTGGGAGGTAAGCCACTTTCACAGGTTCTCTCTCTCACTCTCTTCCCAAACCTCTCCCGAATTGACTCCTCTATTTTCATTCCTCTCCCCTTCCGTTCTCTCATTCTCCTCCCTCTGCTCCTTTATTCTCCTCTTCCCAATTGTACATCCCTGCCATTTCCTTGAATGATCACATCTCTCTCTCACTCATTCCCCCTCCCTCCCTCCCTCCCTCCCTCCCTCCCTCCCTCCCTCCAGTAGGGGAGAAAAGCAATTACATTTGTATTGTGTTGTTTTCACACTCCCCCCGTCTCCCCTTCCTTCTCTACCTACTGTAGGTTTTTCCACGTCCTCTCCTCTCAGCTGTTTACAGCCACCTCTCCCATGGTTTGCATCCTAAATGCGTCCTATTCTCTACATAGTACTTTTGAGTTTAGGTTATATTTCTCTTCAAGCAGCGTATGTGCATATGTACCGCGTGCGTACACACACATACTGTACATGTGTTCGTTCCCCCAGATCCCGTGACCCAGAGCCTCTAACCGTTGGCGGTAATATAATACCATTAGCATAGTAGGCCTATAATGTAACTGTTACACCAAAAACACCTCCTCATTTCTAATGAGATTTTAGGATGGTTTAAGCTGAATCGTCACATTGTTTTTCTCATGCGCCAAAACTCAACAGAGCGCGCCACTAGGAAGGATATATGCTTTGATTGAAGCAAAATACAAGAAAGGCAATAGTTTGTTAACACCATCTGCTCTGATTCGCTCATGAAATAGTAATTTAAGAAGATCTAAATGATTGAGTTTGAGATCAATTAAATGATTGGCATGGAGATGCAGTTTGGACGTATCACCGGAAAACCTTGAAGAATGATCATTCACGATTGACAGTGATGATGGCCTGTTTTGAAAATGTTGTAGCCTATGCATAACTATTTGAGGGCATAAAAAATTTACAATTTTCTTGAGACACAATTGTGTGGGTATAGGCAGACGTTGCAATTAGAGGATGCATTTTATGCATATTCTATAATGATAGGCTGGCTATTCAATTAGCTACATCTTTCAGTACAAACTTTGAGGAAATTGGTGCTCCCTCACCTAAAAGAATAGCACTATACCACTGATCAGGCCCCATCAAAAGTGTGCACTGCGAAGGGAATAGGGTGTCATTTGGGACGCAAACCTGGTCTGTGCTTCATTCAACTGGCTCTGGTTGATGAGAGAGTGATGTTGTTGAAACACATGTTTGGTCTTGTTGCAGAATGCCCTCTGAGATACTGTCTGCATCATGGAGAGTGGTATGTGGAGCATCATGGGCCAATATGCACGTGAGTATAAATACAGCAAACATGCATTCACATGGACACACTCACCACATAACCCCCTGCCACACAACCCCCCGCCACACAACCCCCCACCACAAAACCCCCCACCACACAACCCCCCGCCACACAACCCCCCACCACACAACCCCCGCCACACAACCCCCCGCCACATAACAGACTGTGCAGTTCTGTGCCATTGCATGCTATGCTTTAGTATGGAGTCAGAGACCCCAGCATGTAGTGATGCCTGGGGGACTATGTATGTCAGAGGTTCAGACTTTGAACTAGGATCAGATCATGTTGGTCCTCTGGTCAGGATCCTCTGGGAAGCTGGACCAAGGAAAGCCCAGCCTACAGACAAGGTCAACCTGCCACAGAGACCATCCGGAATGAGAATAACACAAGCAGTGTGTTTTGTCCAAGACTGTGTGTTTTGCATTAGAACATCCCATGGCAGCGCATTAATACCCCAAAATCTAGCCATGATATTGAGCAGATGACGTCTTGGAAGAGAAGTACTGGATAAAATTGGCTTAAGATAATGTAATTTTCTCCAAGACAGTGCCAGGGAGAAGTCCCCTTGATTACCCAACCGATGTGTCTGAATGCAACTCCTTGTTCTGTTTACTGGTACTGTCCATGTAGGATTCTCTCCACATAAGGACATTGTTTTCCATTGACGAGGTGCATGTATACTAACTTTCCTCCAAGCCTTTGTTCATTCACTGTGCTTCAGTGTGGAATGAGTGTGTGTAGGATTTGTTTGTGTTCCTCTGTGTTAGCTGCAGTCAGGAAGTACATTGTCCCAGGGGCGTATCTTCTCAAATGTTTTTTCCATTCCATGCTTTTTATGTTTCCCCTCCCATCTTTGTTCTACATGTTGTTCAGCTTGGCTCAGTCTGTCCAATGTCTGACAGCTTGGCTCAGTCTGTCCAATGTATGTTTGAATCCAATTAGACTGAAACATTCACTAACCAGAGGTACAGAGTGGAAGACCAAGCGCGTACTGAACAGGGGTATGTTGTAAATAGCGCCTTAGGTGTGACCGGATGATGGACGACATCGAGCGGCTGCAGAAGGACATTCGCCGGCTATCCAATGAATTGAAGCAGAAGGAGAGTCTCGTTGACGAGTTCACCAATGTGGCTTTAGCTTAGCCCAGGCTAAACATATCTTGGCGCTGAATATCTCTTTCACCCATGGTGGTGGAGAGTTGGGCGAAGTCGATCTGTCTCACTTCTCGGAACTGTGGCTTGTTCAACTCCACTTCACCACAAAGACTTGGCTGAGATGGTTAGGCGAAAGGGCCCGAGGGAGTCGCGACCTGGGCGGTCCTTTCCTGCCTTGGAGGATCCACTCCGCCTGGCAAACATCTTTGCACCGCTGGAAGCCCGCTCTGGTCCTGGAGACTCCGATGCCAGGCAAGTGATCGCCAATGTCAAACAACAGAGCAACAACATCAGTCACTCTACCCATGTCCACCCGTCAGGTCCCCCTTCAGCTGGCAGCCAGACCATGAAACCTGTCCCCAAGAGGGGACTGTCTCACCGCCGGACTTCAAGACTTCGGACCACTGAGGCAATGGAGACCCTTGTTGTCCCCTGCGATACCCCCACTTCTAGCAACAACGTTCCTCACTGCACCATGTACCCGGAAATCCATGACCTCCCCCTCCCAAGATAGCCATTGTTGGGAGTTCCATTGTAGACATTCTGCTTCCCTGGTGCCAGAGTGTGTGACATCACTCAGGTGCTTATGGTCATTCTAGACCAAAACCCAGGGCTGCACACGGTGGTTGTGCATGCTGGTACAAATTACATCAAACTGCGGCAATTAACTGAGTTGAGAAGGGACATTGAATACCTGAGAGACAGGCTATTGTCTACAGGCAAGCAAATTGTTTTTTCTGGCCCTATCCAAACACATGGTCATGGAATTTATCGCTTCTCCAGGCTATTTGCACTGGACTCGTGGAGGAAATCAGGATTTTATTGACAACTTTGATCTGTTTTGGGAGCGACCTCAGTTCCTAAAAAGAGACGGCCTGCACCCGAACAGGAAAGGAGCTTGGATGCTGAGTGCTAATATTGGAAAGGTACGAAAAAAGTGATGGGATATCAGTCCTTGATCAAAACAGGTAACCCTCACTGAGGCATAGACCAAATGGCACAGTTATAAGCAATCTTGTATCTATACCATTTCTAGCCAACCCCAAGGCCATTTCATATAAAGGGTTACCTACTGATCATATCATATCCATCTGATCTGAAATCTCGCAGCTGTGGTCTTGGACTGATTCATGTAAATGTCAGAAGTTTGATTTCGAAAATTGATCTTATTGTATTTCTGGCTACTCAAACTAACAGACATTTTGATAATTACTGAGACTTAGAAAAGTATGTGCGAGACTCTGATGTGTCTCTAAATGGATATAATGTTTATAGATCTGACAGAGCTGGGGTGTTGCCATATTCATAAAGAACAACTTGAATGTCTTGTCCTAAATGTAGGCCTTGGTAATAATGCCCAACTAAACAGTGGGAGTTTATCGCCCTCCCTTGGCCCTCCCAATTGCTCTTAGCAAATTGTCTGACTTGCTATCTAACTATACTCATTCTGAATTATTAATATTGAGTGATCTTAACCAGGATTGGTTGATGCCTGTATCAGATTTTACTCATCTAACAATTAAATCAACACACCCCAACTTAAAACACATGGGAAAATCTACTCTTTTGGATATACTGTAATTCTGGCAAACACCCCTCATAAGTATACAGCCAATGGAATCTTTGCTAACAAGCTCAGTGACCATTGTCCCATTGCCTCCATTAGAAATACTAAGCTACCTAAATCGTGTCCACGCATTATAACAAAGAGGCATTTTAGACAATCGACAAAAATGACATTTGTAGTGCTTTTAATATCCATTTTGCTTCAGCTGGCCATCTATTTGAAAGAATTGTTTCTGAAAATACCTCAAGCTCCACTAGAGGGAGTCCTTTATTCACCTCTAAACAGATAGCAGAGAATGATGCACTTCCAGGCACTCACTCTTAATTATTTTATTTATTTTTACCATTTTATGCCAATGATTTCATGCCGAGTGGCGCAGCGGTCTGAGGCACTGCATCTCAGTGCTTGAGGCATCACTACAGACCCCCTGGTTCGATTTCCAGACTGTATCACAACCGGCTGTGATTGGGAGTCCCATAGGGCGGCGCACAATTGGCCCAGCGTCGTGCGGGTTTGGCCGGTGTAGGCCGTCATTGTAAATAATATTTTTTTCTTAACTGACTTGTCTAGTTAAAGAAAGGTAAAAAAAATTACAATAATTAAAATAAAAGATAAATAAAATAATAATAATACATAAAAAAAATGCCTTGCAAAAAATGTATGTTACAAAATCAACAGGAACTGATTAGCTTCATCCGTTTCTACTGTAAGCTTTCTGCCCCACTCATTGTAGAAGATTTGACCCACATATTTTATTTAACAATTGCTTCTGGTGCTATCCCTAAGATCTCGAAGGCGGCACATGTCCTCCCCCTTTACAAAGGTGGCGATCCTTCTGACCTAGATAACTACCGCCTAATCTCTAAACTATCTTGCCTTGCAAAAATATTAGAATCACTGGCAAACTATCAGCTAATAACTATTTTAACTTCACATTATATTCTTAATGTTTACCAGTCTGGTTTTAGATCTGGACATAGCACTGTTTCAGCAGCTATGCTTGTCTTAAATGATATATTAAATTGCTTAGATCTGTTGGATTCTAGCATGAAATATACTTATTCATGTTACCGTTCTAGAATTTATTGATTACTTTATATGTATAAGGAATGTATATGTTAGGGGTCAAGGAAGGGTAAAGAGGAACTTTGTGTGTAGAAAGTTACTGACTGATATGGAAAGTTACTGAGTGAGAATAGGAGAAGTGCAAAAAGTTTATTTTCTGTTCAAATAGGTTATTGTTGAATATTAATGTTACTTAGGAGGAATGCAAACGGCAACAGTCTAGTTTCAGATTTTGATAAGGCAGGCCAGTTGCTGTGGAACCAGGACGATGAGGGATGTGGAACTCAACTTGAGATGAGGTCAACAGTTGAAAAGAGAAGATACTGCTGGAAGTGGGGCCACAGGGGCCCACATCAAAGAACATCTGATTACAGTCCTATCTCACACGTACACACTCACTTCCACGCTCATGAGGATCCTAGACTTAGGCAGGGCCATGACAATACCAGTAAGAGGAACCTACTGTGTTTCTGCCTAACATCAAAGAAGGATTGGTTATCTTAGACATGCAATGAGATGACTCCACCTAGTTGGAAGGTATAAAGATGTGCTTGTGTGACTTGTATGTTGCCTTTGCAGCTGTATGACTCAGTGGGTTGAATAAACTTGGTTTGAGATTTTTCTAGTCGTTTTTACTCTGTTTTCAGAACCTAACAGATCATAGGAATCACTAAGCTGCCATATTTATAGATCTATCCAAGGCCTTTGATACTGTCGACCATCCCCATCTCATTTAAATGTTGTCTGAAATAGGCCTAAACCGGGCATCTTGCAAGTGGTTTGGGAACTATCTGTCAGACAGGACTTACCACTATATTACTAATGGTGTCCCGCAGGGGTCGATTTTTGGACCTGTCTTTACTATTTATATACATAATATTGGTCTATCATCTGTAACATTCATCTGTATGCAGATGACACTGTTATGTACGCTATTGCCCCTACGGCTGACCAGGCTATGTTATAGATGCAATCTGATTTTGTTGCCTTGCAGAAAGTCCTTGTTGATTTAAAATTGGTACTTAATGCAGGAAAAATATTACATATTTATGCATTGGATGGTTCTTTCATCGATCAGGTTCCCGCCTATAAATATCTGGGCTTTTGGATTAACAATAAATGTACTTTTAAAAAACATACGGATGAGCTAGTTAAGAAGCTTAGATGTAAGGTAGGCCTATTTTATTTGATCAAAATAGATCATGCCTCTCCCTAAACAGCAAGAAAAAGATTGTACAGTCAACTTTCCTGCCAGATCTTTAGTATGGTGAAACCATTTACCAGAATGCAGCAGCTACTGCTCTTAAACCTTTGGATGCTGTCTACCATAGCGCCCTTCACTTTATCACAGGTGACAGTTTTAATACGCATCACTGCATCTTGTATCAAAAGGTTGCCTGGTCCTCATTAATGTCCCATAGGTTACTTCATTATATTTACAGCTCTACTACACAAGCTTCCGACTTACCTAACTTCATTGTTGAAGAATTAAAACATTAATTACAAAACACGTTCACAGGGTTGGTTAACTCTTGAGGCTCCTTTGAGTTTTAATGCGCCCAACTTCTGGAACAGTTTGTAGATCTCATTAAAATGTGGATGCACTCACTAACTGTAAGTCGCTCTGGATAAGAGCGTCTGCTAAATGACTAAAATGTAAATGTAATGTTCTGGTGCCGCTCAGACAGTTTAGAGTGTTAATTGAGGATCTAGTAGCTGAGAAATGTAACTTGTTTATGATTGTGTTTTTGCTTTTTGCGTATTTTTGTTTAATTTAACATGTATTTAAATAGTGTAGTATGAAAGTGTATATTGTATCTCGATGTGTATTGTGTGCACAGAGCTCACCTGGAATTGGGATCCTCTGTCTCAGTGTTGACTCCCTGTTAAAATAAAGGTTAAAACAAAAAAAAATGATACGTGATTTATTAACCCTTACCTTTCCAGGTGCCAGGATGGTTGGACAGGCAATCCCCGTTGTGAAGTTTTCCGGAATCAGGAGGGAATAAGCAAGAAATCCATGAATCCTCCAACTGGGATTTCAGGAAAACCTGGGCGCTTTGGGAAACTTACCAGAATGTTCCATCCTTTATGTACTATAAGACTATATTGTACTATATTGAATATAAATCCATATGTTTGTCTCTCCTATAGAGGCTATGTATGCTTGCATAGCCATTGGACTGGCCCTGCTGATTCTTGGTATTACTGTCTGTATCCTGTTTGTATTCCTAAAGAGACACTCCTTGATGTAAGTCAGTGGTTAGGATGTTGATGAAGGTGATGCTGGTGATGATGCTGGGGAGGATGACGATGGTGAGGATGACGATGATGGTGATGATGCGAATGATGA